ATAATAACTAATAATAATAGTAGCAGTAATAATAACAAGGGTAATAATGATAATAATGATAACTAGCAATAATAACAATTAATAACAATAACATTAGCAAAAGAAAAACTTTTGCTTCAAAAAAAAAAAGACCTATATACATATGTACATATCTATAAGTTCCATACCACGTGGTGATGTTTGAATACGCTAAAACTTAGAAAATCTCTACTGTAACCAAATGACCATACCATATTTTTAAATAAATTAAAATGATATGGCAGAGTTAATCGTATGACTGCAAAAAAAATAGCTAAAATTTTCAGACTTATTAGTTTTTTCTTCCCTCTCCTTCCTCCTCCTAAACAAATAATCATCAGACACACACAAAAAAGCAATGATAATTTGTTTTATTTTCTGAAGAAAACACACATAATAAAAATAGTATTTTTCATTCATTTTCTGTCAAAATTGCCAATACTTTAATTTCAACCAAAAAACGGTTACACGGTTACGTTACTGACTGAACGTAGGTGTTGAGCATCAACCAACTCTATAAACAAAAAAAAAAAAAGAAGAATCATTTCTACACCAATAATAATATCGCTGCAATTCAAAAAAAAATCTTATGCAATTATTTCAGTAAATTTTATCATAAAACAATGAGTCTTTCTTCCCAACTGAATCTGTGAACACTTTTCGAAGCCACTATTGTGTCAGATCAAATCATAATCGGAGTTTCTTCCCAACATAGGCACACCGAAGAAAACAGTCAGTAGATTTGAAAAAGCGATAAAAAAATAACACACAAACACACAAATACACAGCATTAACCAACCTTTTAAATATAACAAACAGCCTTTCTTCTGTCACCAACATCACCACCATCTAAATCGGCAACCCAAAGTTAACACTCTTCAGAAAATAAAAAAATCCACCTAAAAATTATGCAAAGCTTTTGGCTAGTAATCATCCCAATTGACAAGACAACAATTTCGCTACACTCACTCCACCGTACCAACAACGATTTCAGCACAAAGAGGAAAAAAATTATTTTCCTTCATTTAATAATCTTCAGACAAACGATTCATTCCATAATGATACAAACGACAATGTTGATGACAGACACTTTACAGGTGAGTGACAAAAAAAAAATCAAAATAAAAATTTCATTCAAGGAAACTACACTCAAATACACTCACAAATGCCGCATTCACTGTTACGCATCAAATGGTTAATTTAAAAACAATGAAATTCTTTCTTGCAAAATATTTTCAATGCAAAGGTTAGAAGTGAATCTGTTGGCATTTTCAGACAAAATGAGTGATATATTACTGCGAATAAAAACCGAAAAAAAAAACAAAGAAAAATTGCTTTTTGCAAAACAACATTTACGGACCCCTTACTGTCAATTTTACGTGAACTTATACTCTACGCTACACAAATATGCTTGCCCTCGGACCTGCCTACAACTTCCCTCCCCCCCCCTCCCCCCCCCCCCCCCCCCCCCCCCC